TGTTTCTCTCTCATTGATGTTTCTAACTCTCTATCTCTCTCCCTTCCTCTCTGTAAAAAATCAATAAAATATATTTTAAAAAATTACTTTAAAAAATAATAATAAAAACAAAAAAGTTTAATACATCATTGCTATAAAAACCATGTCTTAATTTTCCACTTTTCTTAACCTAAATAATATGAATATATTGAATTCTATGTATCAGCATAACCTAACAAGTTCATTTCATAACCATGAGAACGAGGTTTCTTTTCAACTTCAAGAAGTTAGACCTTTAGTTAAATCATCATTTCAAATCTATATTGCAGCCTGTACAGTGGGGTCTTGACTTACGAGTGTCCCGACTAACGAGTTTCTCGAGATACGAGCCCTCTCTCGGCCGATTTTTTGCTTTGAGTTGCGAGCTAAAATTCGGGTTACTAGCCAGCTTCAGATACTCCACCACTAGTTGATGCAGCGAACATCACAGTGAACGCCACAACATCAGCCCAGCATTCAATTCATTGTAATGGTGAAAATTGATTTGACATACGAGTAATTTGAGTTACGAGCTCCGTCACGGAACGAATTAAACTCGTAAGTCAAGGCCCCACTGTAATGCCCATTCCTTTTGGTCCCAGTTTTATCGTGGAATAAACCTTATGAGTTAGGTCCCACAGAACAAGACTTTTTTAAACCTGGGTTCTTTGGATTCTCTCCATTCACGGATGGGCTTTAGGTTTATAAAACTGGTTGCAAGTGAAAATGGAAACAATATTTGCCATCCTTCAAATATGTTCTCTTCTAGTGAGAAAATATCCTATAAAATAAAGATATGTTTTATGGTTGAGGACAGAATGTTTAATGAGGTGGCTACTGCCAGACTCTCTAGCTAGACCCAGCTAGATCTGGCCCAGATCAGATATTGCTTCCGTAAATCCCCTCAGACTGTCTGACCCCTCCCCTATGGGTAATATGGGGCATAAAAGGCCAGTGAGAGAGATATGATGGAAAGGGTCAAGGACTTGTAGACCATGCTACTTTAAACTGATTGTGGTATGACCTCCCATTCTAAACTGAAAATATTTAATGAAGAGTTCAGCAATGTGCAACAATGTTGTATTTATGTTTACTTTGGAGATGGGGTAAGGATAAAGACAATTACAAGATAAAAGAAATAAGAGAAAACAGAAATGACTATGAGATATACTCATTCAACTCCACATTGCTCCTGTATTTTAGAAAATGTCACAGGGAGAATTTTTAATCTTCATAGACATAAATTTAAATTTAGGAAGAATTCTGCTTCTGTCTAAGATGTAAATAGTTATAAAGAATGCTGCTTCTATCCTGACCAACAGAAAAGAGAATCTACAAAATTTTATTTTTTATTGAAACCATGAGAGCTGAAGTAACTAGGCAAACAGCCTGAAATCTAAAAAAAGTTGTACAAGAGCATCTCCCAGTGGCAGAAAGAGAGAAGAGAGATGCTTTGTGCCAAACAGAGAGATAAGAATCCACCAAATATTTTTAAGGAATTGCTAAAAGACAAGTGTGGGATAGAGTGAGCGTATAGGACCCTCAGGGAGACACAGACACAAGGAAATACGCCCATGCACAGACTCTTCCCCAGAAACACAATGGAGGGCGGAGTGGGAGACTGGAGACATCCTTCTTTGGTGGCACAGGCCTGAAGGGTGGGAGCAACTGCTGCCTTGAGAACATTTTAAACCTACCAAGCCCCTCTCCTGAGAAACAAAAGCCTTAAGCTGCTGTATGAACTTCAGGGACCTTTTTCTTTTACACCCTCAGAACTCAAGGGAAGACCTATTATGGCTGAAAGAAGGGAAAAGAATAACACCCACCCCTAGAGAAAAGGGAGGAAGCTATCTTGAGGCCAGACCATTCAAGGGCTCCTACCAAAGGAGGAAGGACATGAACTTTGAGGAATATCTAGCCAATGACCATGGGCAGGACTTTCCTAAGACCAAGGATCGATCAGGATAACAGAAAACACTTTGGTCCCATAACTAGGCCAGCAATTACCGAGTAAAACATAAGAACAGATTACTACAGAGGAAGAGATCTGTGTGAAAGAAAACCTCCTTTGAGCACTGGCCCTTGACAAAGGCCTGAGGTGGAAGTTGAGATTGAAGCAGAAATGAGCAATCCAGGACTCACTCTAAGCACAAGATAACACTACAGAGATCTGAAGCTCATGGTGCACTATAAGTAACAATAGCAATAGCAACACCCCAAACCAGTGTAATTGCTGACAAGATTGATTCAATCCCATTTGTTAATGGCCTGGTCAAAGAAGAAGGGATAAGTATTATTTCCTCTGTCCCTACTATCCTATACATAATGTCCAGTATCCAATAAAATATTAAAGAACACAGAAAAAAGCAAGGAAAAACAACCCACTGTTTGAGAGATGAGTCAACAAAACTAGATTCAGAGATAATCCAAATGTTGAAGTTAATCTGACAGGAAGTGTAAAATAATAATTATTAATATGTTATAGCTCTAGTGGAAAGTATGGATGTGGTAGGCATAATTTTAACATAAAGTTGTATAAAACATTTCCAAGTATTTGGAAACTAAGTGACACATATAAAACCATTGAATCAAAGAGGAAATCATAAGGGATATTAGAAATATTTTGAATTGAATGAGAATTAAAACATCAAAATTTGTGAGAACCAGCTAAAGAACATATACTTATTGTTTGACCCAGCATTCTTATTTCTTAGTCATTTACAAAAAAAAACATAAAAATTTATGTTTGCACATACATCTATATGCAAATGTTGAAAGAAATCTTATTCATTATAGCAAAAACTACAAATTGATCAAATGTCCTTGAACTGGTGAATGAATCACCTCTGACCTAGATGGAGCTACTCATTACAGCTTCTTCCTTTGGGCCTTCTTTATCCTAGTAATGGAGCTCAATGACTTAGAAAGAGTCAGAATAGGAAAAATATGTATAATTTACAGTAGTGCTTTGTAAAAGAGGTTATAGTTAATTATAGATTTTGCTGAAATATTTTCCCTAATTTCTGTGTCAAAATATAGAAAATAAATTACAGCTTGCAAACTTTTTTGCTGTGCACGGTCATGGAGCGGTAATTTACAATAGTGGATTTGATTTATGCATGATGGATATTAAAATCTTTGTATATTACCTTATATATTTTTGTGATTAGTGACCAATATTTGAAATTTATTTAAATGTTTACTTATTAAATGCCATTTACTTAGAAAACAAAAAACTCAGACCTCTGGTTCATTTGTTGCTGTGAATTTAATTAATTCTTACTAATTAGTCTACTGGGTGAATTTTTGTCTTTTGGGCTGCCTCAGAACCACCACAGAAATTCAGCAGTATCTATCCTAAAAGTTTCTTTCCATTTGTATTTTTAGCTTGATTTAAACTATAAGATCTTACCATGTTGACAAAATTGACCATTCCCCAAATTCGGTTTCTCAGTTTATTGTGAGGATAATTATTCCTGCGATACTGCAAAAATAAACATAAATATCTGTTAATAATAGGAGTTGAATACAAATTCAATATTTCACACATTATCAGGTCTTTCAAAGAAAAAAAATATTATTTGTATTCCTTCTAGTCAGCTAAAAATCTTGGCAACTTAAGCAAAAATATATTTTGTATATGACACAGCTACAGCACTTTCAAAAGACATGCTTCAACTTAGCAATTACTTTAAATGTTTTTATAACTTTGTCCCCTTTCACATTGTATTATATTACATTATATGATTTATCAAATCAACTAGTAAGTGTTCTTTAGATTTCATATTTATCATGCTGATGAAACAAAACTTGTAAAGCTCCACAGCAACCATTATATTGCAAGAAAACAGCAACTTTATCAGCCTTTCTGAGTCCATGGTGGCCAGAAACTAAGGGACATATAATCAAGGGTCATCCTGGAGCCAGAGATGTGAGGAAAGGGACACAGAAGTGTTGCTTGCCCTTCTTTCCAGGAAAAGACTAGGAAGAAAATGCCAACTTCCCTACTCTGGCCTATTCTTTAGTTTTTTCTCCTAAGGCAGTTTATTATTATTTTTCTTTTTATTAAGTTCATTTGGGTGACACTGGTTAACAAAATGATATAGGTTTCAGGGGGACAATTCCACATCATCTGTACACTGTATTGTGTGTTCACCACCCCAAGTTATGTCTCTTTCCATCACCGCCTATTCTGATTTTGGTTCACTTCTTTCAAATGGATTCTCTATTTGTGCCATCAGGACCTTATTCTCAGTATTATCAATGTAGACCTGACAAAATATATTTAACTAGTGGCCTGGTGCACAAAATTCGTGCACGGGGCGGGGGTGTGTCCCTCAGCCAAGCCTGCACCTTCTCCAATCTGGGACCCCTCGGGGGATGTCTAACTGCCGGCTTAGGCCTGAATAGGGATCGGGCCTAAACCAGCAGTCGGAAATCCCTCTCTCAATCTGGCTCCTAACTGCTCAACTACCCCCCCACCAGCCTGCTTGGCCCCAACTGACACCCCCCACTTGCCTGATCACCCCCAACTGCCCTCCCCTCCTGGCCTGCTCGCCCCTAACTGCTCTGCCTTGGCCCCACCACCATGGCTTTGTCTGGAAGGACATCTGGAAGGTCTCCTGGTCTAATTAGCATATTACCCTTTTATTAGTATAGATAATAATATAAGGTATCCTGTGGGGACAAATGCAAATGGTCAAGTTTCTTACCTAATAAAAATAAATATCCTTTTCTGAATCCTGAAAATATCCTCTAGTTACTATTTCATTGCTGTCCTGTTATCGTAAATATCTACATATCTCAATGATATAACATTAGAATCTCTTCAATTATCATCTACCACCTACTCCTTAACTCACCACTCACTAGCTTGACTATCACTATTTCATTGAAACTATTCTTGATAAATGTCCTCTCAATGATCAACCCATTGAACACTTTTTTCTCATCTCCCTGATCATCTTGTTCACATTTAATATTGACTATTTTCTCTTTCAAGACATTTCTTATCATCCTGGTTTTCATTATTCTATACATTTCTGGATTTTACTGTGCAGAGGTTTTTCTTTTCAACCATCCCCTTAAATTCTAAATAACAAATGTTTTCACTCCAGAATTCCCATTGATGAATGGGTAGGGCTGGCCTAGTATACATAGTTAATAGAGATTTTGAGGTTGTCTTAGGGACTATAGGAATAGAGTACTTATCAATCATTGATTTCTACCCATGGGGTAAGAAAGAGGGATGGACATGGGGTCTTTGTACTTTTATTTCCAAGCCTTTTTTAAAAAATGTTTAGTGTTCCCTAGGATCAGACATTTGTGCTGTGCTCTCTCTTTCAACTTGCTAACTCTGGGTGTACACATCTGCACCCTCACTCTACCTAGCTGCTTAAAACTCATCACATCGCTTTCAAGATGTATGAACCCTCAACATGTTTTCCAAAGCTGCCTTTGTTTTTCCTCTTCTATCTTACCAACATATCCTAACTCTTAATCTTTATTAATAAGTTATTATTAAGATCAAAGCTTATCTTAACTTTCTTTTAAAAATTTAGTTAACTTGTTCTTACCAACATGCCAATAAGCCTATCTATCCATTAGTGCCTAGAACAGTGATGGCGAACCTTTTGAGCTCGGCATGTCAGCATTTTGAAAAACCCTAACTTAACTCTGGTGCTGTGTCACATATAGAAATTTTTTGATATTTGCAACCATAGTAAAACAAAGATTTATATTTTTGATATTTATTTTATATATTTAAATGCCATTTAACAAAGAAAAATCAACCAAAAAAATGAGTTCGTGTGTCACCTCTGACACGCGTGTCATAGGTTCGCCATCCCTCGCCTAGAACTTACTAATTCATTTAAAAAAAAATTTTTTTTTTTGCTTTTCCCATGCCTTATATTTCCCCTGCCCTTTGCCACAGGCAGACAGAACATTTTCTTTCTCTTTGCATGTTTAATGCACAGAACCTTTCTATTTCCCTCTACAGGTCTGGGCCAGCCCTTTATGGCTTTGGGCATCCTGCACTAGTCTACATATTGTGGGTCACAAAGCCTTTGAGTTTTATTTACTACTCTGAGGCTTTCTTCCTCATTTTTAGCACTTGGAGAGTCCTTGTTTTTGTGGTTGTTGCTGTTATTTTTGTTTGTGTGGTTTTAATTGAGTTTAGATATAGTTTTATTTTTTACATGTTGTTCAGCATTTTTATGTTTGTAATGGGGAGGGCAGTTCTTTTTTGGCTCAGTCTGCTGTACTACTAAAGGATACAATCATCTCTTATATAAACATGCTTGGGGAAGCTAAAAAGAGATTGAGCCCTGAATGAAATCCCGAATAAACCTTTTTTCTTTGTTAGAATCACAAATCTAGTTTTATAAGGATGAACGAAGAGCCAATGTTCATCTGAAAACTTACCACGTTACCATCAGCAACAACAAACAGTTCAACATAGTTTTCTATATGGGTGACCTGGAAGTTTATAAAAAATTGAATGAAGTTTAGTTAATATTTCTTATTTTAACATTTTAAGATAACATTTGTAAGGTAAGAAATGTTAATTTTTATTGATACAAGAGGTGAGTTATAGAAGTATATTTAATAATTCTAGAAAGTTATCTAAATAAAATCCATTGTATTATTAAAACATGTGGCCCTGTATAACAGATTGTAATAAACCTGAAATAGCATTCCATACTTGATTATCTTTTCTTTCTTTGTTAAGTCTTTCATATAAAATGTATTATAAATGAAAAAATTATATCTAGTTTTTAACAGTAGGTGTTTTGTTTTATTTACAAAGTAAATGCTTATTAAGAAAACTCTTTTTAAAAAAGCATCCATATATAAAGCTCAGAACTAACATAGAGCTAATTATTAGCCTACAGTCAGGCTAATAGAACTGATTATTTTTCATTTACTCTTGCTCCTCTCTCCAAATCATCTGTATTTCAGTAGTCTAAATCCAAGAGAACATGTATAAAAGTTGCTAATTATAGATCTTCTATAAAACACCAATACTAAGAAATTCTATGTTTTCAGTTTTTGATGGCATACACTGAGGTTCATGCATATTCTCTGAGTATAAATCAGGGACATATTGTTCAAAGATTGACTAAGTCATTCTTATGTGGACTAAGTAATCTTTTATTGATTGATTTATTCAATTGGACTATGAATATGTGAAGAAGATGAACATTCTTGGAGCTTAAAGGCTAACATCTAGGGGGATTTTAGGAGATATGAGTTGGCTGTAGAGAAAATGAACTCATTATTACTCTTAATTGTCCTTAACAGTTAGAATGTTTGACCTAATTAAAGGGAGAGAATCTTGCTTATCAATTCCCCGAAAATGTCAACAAAGACAAGGGCAGACAATATCTAGGATAGGTTTCAAGACAACGTAAATTTCATTCTTTCCAGCCACCTGTAGCTCTAATGCTCAAAACCTATACACACATTGTTGATATTCCCCTTCCTTGAAACCAATGGGACAAACTGAGATTTACTGTATGGAACAATCAATTTCCATATAGATAACAAATACAAATGTTTGACATTTCAGATTTCAAACAACAAAGAGTCAGACTCATATAGTATGCATACTTCCTTCATTGAGCTCAGATTTTCTCTCTTGAGATCATAAAGGAATGGAGAAAAATATAACTTAAAAATAAAGCACTCACTTCCATGTTGGAGCCTTCCATCAATTTAGAATTATTGTTTGGAGCAGTTGTCCTTTTAAAATTAAGCTCTGTACAAGAATAATTGGTAGGATACTGCATTTTTGGGTTATAGTTGAATACTAAATGTTCTCCCTCATCTGAATATTTCACTGGTTCAATGAGGTACCTTTGGTTATATACCCTGAAGAATCCCCTGTGGAAATTAAGAATACAATGTATAGTTAAGAATTTTTATTATTACATTACCATACAAAACTATCCTATTCCATTTTTATTGATGTTGCCTTTTAAATTTTTTATTATATATTTTATAATTCCTCCCTAATTTGGTTTTATTTTCAAATTTAATTTTTATGTACTTTTCCTTGCTTCCATTTATTTTATTACTTTTCACATCATCATTTATCCCCCATATACCCTCTTCTAAATCCATCCACCACCCTGACAGTCACCACACTGCTGTCCATGTCCATGAGTTCTTTCTCTTTTTTTTCTCAATCCCTCCACTTCCCCCAGCACCCCCAGAGCTATCTGCCTGCTCTCTATCTATGACTCTGTCTCTATTTTGCTTGTTAGGTCAGTTGGTTTATTAAATTCCACATATGAGGGAAATCATATGGTACTTGTCTTTCTCTGACAGGCTTATGTCACTTAGCATAATGTTCTCTAGGTCCATTCATTATGTCGCCAAAGGGTAAAATTTTCATCCTTTTTATGGCCAAGTAGTCTTCCATTGTGTAAACGTACAACTCTTTTATCCACTCATCTACTGATGGATATTTGGACTGCTTCCAGATCTTGGCTATCTATATATATAAAAGCCTAAGCGACCACTATGACCGGACTGGTCGACCAGGTGCTATGACACACACTGACTACCAGGGGACAGATGCTCAATGCAGGAGCTGCCCCCTGGTGGTCATAGTGCTCCCACAGCAGGAGCTCTGCTCAGCTGACCGACCTGTCCCAGTGGCCCACCAGCTTGGCAGTTGCCACTCACTCCCTCAGTAGCCCTACATATCCAATCTCCGGAGAATGGGCCAGCACCAATGGACCAGTGCCACTGGTATGTTCCCAACAGTGCTGCAGGCCTCCTGGAAGTTGGCCTCGGGCACCTTGACCACTTTCCTTCCCTAGATGCTCCACAAGGAAGAAAGGATATAAAAGTGGCTGCCAGGTGGCTCCCGACAACCTGCATGAACGTCAGCGGGACGGATCCAGATCCCAGGCTGGCAAGGGTGTCCCATTGCCTGCCTAGAGAGCCAATCATGTCCTGCCCTCCCCTCCAGGGGACCCCACCTGTGCACGAATTCGTGCACTGGGCCTCTAGTCTATATATATAAAAGGTTAAGTGACCGACCATCTGTCCACCCAACCATCTGACTGACAGGTACATATGACACACACTGGCTATTTAAAAACAAACATTGACTCACGTGTGTGCGATACATATAAAGCTCTAGCTGGTGCCAATCACACACAAGCGTTTTGATCTGTCAGTGATATTAAAATATTTCTTCTAATTAATTTCCTTTCAATGTGCATAAATCTATGCACCAGGCCACAAGTTGTAAATAATGCTGCAATGAACATAGGGGTGCATATATTCTCTTGAATAAGTGTTTTGGGTTTCTTTGGATGTGTTCCAAGAAGTAGAATTGCTGGGTCATAAGTTAATTGAATTTTTAATTTTTGAAGTTACTCTATACTGCTTTTCACAGTAGTTGCACCAATCTGCATTCCCACCAACACTGCACAAGGATTTTCTTTTCTTCACATCCTTGCCAACACTTGTTGTTTGTTGATTTATTGATCATAGCCATTCTGCCAGGTGTGAAGTGATATCTCATTGTGGCTTTAATTTGCATCTCTCTGATGATTAGTGATCTTGAGCATTTTTCATATGTCTATAGCCATCTGTATAAACTCTTTGGAGAAGTGTCTATTTAGATCCTTTGTCCATTTTGTAATTAAATTGCTTTTTTGGTGTTAAGTTTTGTACGTTTTTTTATAAATTTTGAATATTAACCTCTTATCAGATGTACTAGTGAGTATGTTCTCCCACAGAATGGGTTGCTTTTTCATTTGGTTGATGGTTTCCTTTGTTGTGCAACATCTTTTTAGTTTGATGTAGTTCTATTTATCTATTTTTCTGATGTTGCCTTTTAAGAAAGGGGAACTTTCTTATAAAGGCAAAGCCTCATGAGATTGCAGCCATGTGTTATGAGCGCTAAAAATATGAGATAATATGTAGTCTCTGATTGAATTAATACCTTTTTGTAAGAGTCAGCTCATCTGGATTTTTCAGAAGCTTGACTGTCTAATCTCTACTTTCAAGTATTAGGTCGAGTAACAATTGCCACCTGGGATTGTAGATCCCTGGGAAGTCTCAGATTTCTTGCAAAAATGCTGTAAATTTTTATGTCTATCATGCATTAGTTGTAGAATATATATTAAAGTACCAATGCTATTATGTGATGATTTTGTTATTAAAGGGGTTCTCATATTTGAAAATACTGAGAACTAAACAAGTAAACGGCTCACCAAGGGAGACAGAAGTTTTTTGTTCTTCTACCCTTTGCCTCTCCACGTCTTTCTCCTTTGTACTTGAGCTAAAGATCTACAGAGAATCTCTGTAGGCTTTGCTTCTGACATTTTGCTTTCTAGGGACTAAAAACACTGTGAAGTGTTGATGTGTGTGGGGAATTCACAGGACTAGAAGTCAGAAGACCTGGTTTGGACTTAATTCTACCACTGGCAAATAAAATGTTCAGGAGCAAGTCTCTGATTTCAGTATCCTGATATAGAGCATGAAATTTCCAATAGTATTCAAATACTGAATCTCTTGATCATCTGCTAGAATACTTGTCTTGCTTAGGGCTGGCATTAGACATCTTTTTTTAAATAAAAAATGAACCTAAACAATGGGCTGAAGTGGATACTCATGCTGAAAATATACAGTAGCTTTTTCTATTTACCAGTGTTTTAGAAAGAAACGTGAGAAGTCAATTTTTAAAAAAATCTATAGAAAAAATCATAAACAAAGTAGAAAGATACTCTACATTACCTGAGACCGTTACATGTGCTGATACTGGCAGCAGAATCATATTCATGTATAATGGATCCTTGGTAAAAACAGTGATCCTAAAATAGATGAAGAGGCTATTGATATAAGTACATATAGAGGGTGGGGCAAAAGTAGGTTTATAGTTGAAAGTATGAGAAACATAGAGTTTATTCTTATATTACTATTTATTAATTACTGTATTATTTTTCATAAGAACAACTGTAAGCCTACTTTTGCCTCACCCTGTACTGATACATATTTCTAAATAAAATTGCTATATATAATATGTTCACAATATATCAGTATTTCATCCTCACAAATTACATTTATATTCATTCATACATTCATTTAATGGATTATTTCATTTGGAAAATTTTGAAGCTACTTTAGAATCTTTTTATTTTAATTGCATGATTACTTTCTGTAATATTGCTACTTTAAGCCATCCTAAAATTTCTACCAAACTATCCCTCCTGTGTTACTATAATTTTTCCTCAGTTGAGTTGCCTATGAAATCAAGCCTAAGTTTTTGATGATCATTGAAATTAGGTCTCACTTTCCAATCAGGTTCCCTATGCCTTCCTCTCCTATCTCTCTGCTTCAACCAAGTTGGTATCTTTATCACTCCCTACTTGATGCTCTGCCCATGGTGAGTCCAACAGGTAATAACCTTCCATCATTTCTATCTGTGTGACTCCCACCTACATGTGACACTTTCCATGTTCCTCCAGGGACCTCAGACACTTGCAGGCCAACAACCACTCCCTGCATGAAAGAATGTTCCCTGTTTTCTTCCTGTTCTATTTCACATAGATTACATAATGACTTAGATTTCATAGTTGGCAGCTACCATAAATAGAGAAAATTGATTTTAAAAGGACGTCTTTGGTAAGAGAATAATGTTCTCCTTTGTTAGAAGTCTGCAGAGGGCATGTTCTGAAAAGGTGAATAAAGTTATAAAAATAGAACCTGTTTCCACTGAAATGCTAGTGATAAATACAAAAAGATTTATTCGAAAAATAAAGGTGAACCCTCAGTGTTGGGTGCATAAGAAGGTGGGGAAAGGGGATGTGACTCACTTAAGGGTCAATTAGATGAGGGATTTAAATCATTTCACTTATTTAGGTTTTATCCATTTAACTTGATTACAGACTCATCAGGCTGCCCTATACTCCTTTGGTGTCTGGTTTCATCCTTCCTCCAGAATCTTTGGGTTCATAGAAGTCAATTTGGTAAAGAAAAATACATTAGTAATCATTTATTTGCTTGTTAGTCTTTTAAAGTTCAAAGGGTTTTGCACTCTAGGATCATCCAGTGACAATAGTCAGTGCAGGATTCATTCTTGATGTAACACTTTCTGAAGCTGCTTGTAAAGCTAGGATTGATTTGCAAAATCACAGGAGGAAATAAGAGTCTCAGAGAAGAGACATAGGAAGGTTTGATAAAATACCTTAACCTGAGGATGGCTGGTGACTTCCTCTCCGTTTATGGAGTAGTACGTTTCACTATAATTCAAGGCCAGGAACTCCCTGGAAAAGAGGACAGAGAAGTGCTGAGATTTACCGGTTTTTGACAGTGAATAGATAAAACCAATTATGTGAGCGAGAAGCCTCCAGACTGCTTTCGAATCTCAGAAACTCCTCTTACAGTGAAAGTGAGAAGCAAAACTAATCCCACTCCCATGGAACAACTTTCTACCTGGATTTCATGGGTTGCTAAAGACTGTAGAAGAAAAAGAAAAATATTCTGGCAGCTTTAGCAAAGGGGCACCTTGAGAAGAACGTGGAGAAAATATTATATTGGTAAAAATCGCTTGCCTTAGGAGTCAAAATTAATGCAAAAAATCTCATTAGAGACTATAGAAGTCACAGGAGAGGAGAATATGTCAGCAATATTTGCTAAAACTCTGTTAACACATAATTTTATATCCACAAAAAATGACCTTTGAAAATGAAGAGAAAATAAAGACCATTTCAGGTAAAATAAAACTTTCTAGTTTATTTTTATAGGCATTTAGGTAACACAGCTATGTGCATTTGTCAAAACTCAATGAATGTATAATCAGATTTGTGCATTTCAATATAAAAAATTTTAACATAAAAAAAAACACCTGCCAACCTTAATGATATGTTTGTTTTTTAGGAGGGATTTTATTGAATTTTTTATGCAATATAATTTGAAATGCATAAAAACAATGAAGGGTGAATAGGTAGGTAAATACATAAAGGAATTATGATATGAACAAGGATAATAAAATATTAATGAATATTTGTGTATATGTCTATCTTGATGCGATTATGGGTATCTGTATATATTAATGGGTATATAAATGTTCACTATAAAATTCTTTCAATTTTGCTCCATGTGCAAACAGAACTTGCTTTGATATCTATTTTAAATAAAGTTCCCTTAAGAACCATGGTTCTCAAATTTCCTTTGTTCCACTGATTCACAAAGTATTTGTGGGGTATTCTTAGAGTGTGTAGAGCTCAAAGCACTCCAGTACCCCCAATAGGGAGTAAATTAGAAACTGGAGAACAGTGTCTATAATTGTTAGGCTGTTGGAATGATGTGGGCTTACATTTGAAGGGTAGGAATTCAGATTATGTACAGATGAAAATGACTTCAATTCACTTCACTGGAAGTTTTTACAAAAACGGTAATACTATAGACCAATAAATCTATGTTATTAAAATCATAATAGAACTTACCTTGATCTTACAAGGTGAAGTATGAAGGTTTTTTTACTTAGACTTATTTCATATAACAATTCGTTGTCATAAGTTTCCTGAAAAACAATATCCATAATGTGAACTAGATATGTGCTCCTTCAGTGTGGGCTGAGGGCGGGTAATGGGGTGGGTAGTCTACCCAGAGTTGAGCTCTCCTTTCAGGAAAAATGGTAAATATGGATAAAGCTGAATTTATAAGGAAGCTAATATATGCAGGTTTTTGCTTTCCAGTTATTTTTAAATAAATGTTTGATGCTTATTTCTAGTTAAAAAGAAGGTAAAATGAAAAAATTCATATTGCCCCTGTATCCAGAAATATGTTATTATATGTCCTTGCAGTGTCACTCCCCAATAAATCTTCTGCTTATGTATTTTTACCAGTTTTGTGTACACTGTCTTGTAGCTTACTTTTTTTACATAAAAGTAAGTTATGGCCATGACCACTTTTCTATTCTAATAAGTATTATTTTATTGTATGTATTTTACTGCTGAAAAGCATAATGTGAACTTATTTAATCTACACTTAGATCAGAAATTTGATTTGGCCTATTCACTATAGGTAGACAGAATTTCATTGTCAACAACATGGAAAAAGTGTAAAGTTTTTGGTAAATACTTCCAGATAACCCTGAAAAATGGAAGTACAAATTTAGAATTTCACCAGAAATTTATAGTGGTTCTTGTTTCCTTGCCTTAAATATTATAATCAATAAGATCGTTCAAATAATGAAATAACTTATTGTCATAAATTGTTGTCTTTAATGACAATTAGAATTGATATTTTCTTTTGTTTAGTTATTTGTATATTTGTATATGAATTTCTAATTTATGCCCTCTTACCATTTTCTTTTCTGGCATTTTATTTATTTATGAATGATAAAAATTCTTTATAATTTAGGGATTCACAGTTATTGGACATATATCTTACACATTTCTTCAATTTATTGTTCATACATTTATTCAATTGATGTTATTTCAGTCACAGCGATCATATGGAAAATACAATGATGTACACGTTAGCGGTCACTGCTCTCATGAAAACCATAGTGTGGCAAAAAAAAGAAAATCAAGCAAATGTAATTGAGTATTATAAGCATCTTAAGAGGAGAAACATAGTGACTGTGTAGGAGGGTATTGAAAGGAGGAGTCAGGGACAAGGAAGAACACATGCAAAGGTCCTGAGGTAGGAAGGAGCTTGTCGTATATGAGGAACAGAGAGAAGTTCAATGTTGCTGGAAAATCAAGTTGAGTAGAAACAGAAATGAAAAGTAGGAAGGAGCCAAATCATGTACAGCTTAGTGAGCCATTTAAAAGAATTTAGAGCTTATCTTAAGAGCAAAGAGAAGCAAACATTTTTGGCAGAATAATGCAGTAGGTGTGATATTTTAGATGTCTTAATTATTGAGGGTAATGAATCAGCAGAAATCAACATTTAAAGGCTGTTGCTGTAATACTGGTGGTTTGGGCAGGAAGTGGCAGCAATAATAAGGAACAGTAGATAATTTTGAAAGATATTTACATGATAGAATCTACAAGGCTAGGTGATTGTTTGATGGGGGAGGCTGAAGAGAGAGGAGTCAAGAACTACCTCCAGTTTCTGGTTTGTGCCACTACTAAGAGGAGGGTCTTCTGAAGAAAGGCAACTTTGAGGAGGGAGAGAGGAGTTTTGTGTTTGTTAAAGGTGAGGTGTGCATCAGTGAGGACTTTTTTGATTGCAAGTGTAACATAAAATTAGGATTTTATTATAAAGACACAGTATTCGTAGTGGGCAGGCAAGAAACAGATTCTCAATTAAATGAGAGTTGAATCCCATTTTACAACAAGATGACCTTTATGTGTAGATATGTAGGCGTGTGTCTATGTCTGTGTGCATAACAGGATGGTATATCAGGACTTTTTGAAATGTGAATGAATATAAAATGTTATATTAGCTAATATTGAGGAACAATTTTTACATGTCAGATGTGATAAAGTTATTTTTAACCTTGTCATTAATAGTTTTAATGAACAGGATATTTAAATTTATTTTTTATTTTAGAATTTTATTTATTTAAGTTTTAAATTTAGTTTTATTTTAGATTTAGAGAAAAGTTGGATAGACAATATAGAGAATTCTCATGTAACTCCACAACTCACGTTTTTCTTAATGTTATTATGGTGTATTTGTCACTACTGATGAACCAAAATTGATATTACAATTAATGTTTACACTTAGCCAGATTTCCTTCATTTTTGTCTACTGTCCTTTTATGGCCATAAGATCTCACCTAGGACACCACATTACATTTCATTGTCATGTCTCCTTAGGCTCCTCTAGACATAACAGTTTCTCAGACTTTCCCTATTTTGGATGACTTTGACAGTTTTGAAGAGTACTGGTCAGGTATTTTGTAGGCTGCCTCTCAATTTAGGTTATTATGAGTTTTTTCAATGCTTAGACTAGGTTTATGGAGATTTGGGAGAAAAACAAAGTGCCATTTCCATCACATCATATCCAGAGTACATACTATCAACATGACATCCCTGGTGATGTTAACACTGGTACCTGGCTGAGGTAGCATCTGAGAGCTTTCTCCACTGTAAAGTGATATTTTCCCCTTCCCTCGTCCACTCTTTGAAAGGAAGTCACTAGGCACAGCCCAGGCTTAAAGGGTAAGGAGTTATGCCCCACCTCCTGGGGAGGGGGAATATCTACATCAATATTTTAATTCTTCTGTAGGGGATGTTTATTCTCACATTTATTGACTTATTAAATCACTTATTTATATCAATATGGTGTCATAGACATGTACTTTATGTTACAGTCCAAAACTATGTCATTTATTGTTGTGCTCAATTTATTGTTTCTTCCTTGGCCATCGGGAGCGATTTCAGTTGGCTCCCATGTTCTTTTAACTTCTCTCCTCATTGTGGGTAGAGGTTGTCTGTTTGAGAACTTCCTTACTTCCTGGTACAAGGTGCTCCAAGCTCATCTTGTGTATTTCCTGCCTCAGTTCAGGCTCATCTTGTATATTCATTGTGGGACTTTTAATGTCAGTATTGATTAAGTCTTAATAGATGCCAGAAGAGCCCACCGGCTTTTACACAATGGGTGGTAGGAAGCTGGTTTTGCCCTCTTAGCTGGGTACCAACAATCAACCAGTTAAGAGAAGGTGAGAAAAGACTTAGAGTTCAAGACAAATCTATTTGTAAGGAGATTATCAGAAGAAAATGTTTAGAGTAGACATTGTTTCCAAAGGGCAACCAACAGTTGCTTTTTCATCATCTCAAGCCATCACTAAAGAGGCCTCAATAGTACCATTTGGAACATTAAAATGTGCCTTAATTATGACTGAGAGACCTAATAAGTGGAAGCCTGGGAGGCTGGCTCTTCTAATGGCGGAGGGAAGAGAAGGCACTGCCCGGGAAAGGTTTGCCCTCTCAGGAAGTGTTAGGTCAGAGTGACAGTCAGCCTTCCCTGTGGGCCAAAGTGAAAACCCAAGGCTCAAAATGCAGTTGCCCGGGAATAAAAATCTAAGGGCCAACATTGAATGTCTTTCACAATAGTGGGGATTGAAAATAACCTCATTTTAAAGTTTGTGCCCATGATGTGTATTATACATTTTCTACATAAGTAAACATTTATTACTTTAAAAAATAAAGTTGTAACTTTTTAATTTTAACACCCAAATAAACACCCTTCTAACCAATGGGCCAAGTAGGCCTTTTTGTTGCTGTGAAAGTTGTCCATCTCTGCTGCAGAACCTGTCAGGCGAGTAAGCCTGCATATCAGATCCCTGTTCACAGGAGCCAGCCCAGAACAAGTGAGTTGCCTTACATCAGTCTGAAAAGCGGGTGGTGGAGCTCCTCACATAAACTGAGAAATGTTCATGGAACCCCCTAACATCTGAGCTTGACTCCTTCTTGTTTCTTAATCTGTCAAGGGCCTCTTTCCTCTTATCCTCCACTTCGCAACCACCCAGGCACAGACCATAAACTAATGGGGAGTCCTGAGAAGAGTTGAGACTTCTCTCTTCTCTTGTTTGCTTCTAATTGGAAACAGAGGTTGCTTTCCACATGCCTGTAAAAGCAATGCATTTTATGGATTATTTTAAAATCTATACCTGTAGGTCATAATCATGAGTGTGCCAAACATCTCGCTTCTGTATCACAGGAAGCCTTTTAGGATAAACCAGTTCTTGACCCTCTACTCCACGGACTGCCTTTTCTAAAAGGAAGCATAAAGGGAAAATACATGTGGCATTAACATGCATCCACGGTTATTGGATAACAGAATTACTCTCACAGAGTTCACTTGCTCCCAATTAGCAGCCATGTACAACATCACTATAAAATAGCACCCCTACTTTACAAGGAAGGACATTGAGACAGATGTTTCCAAAGTAGAAAAATGTAAGTAAAATTGGAAAGGAGGCAAAGAAATCAGGGTGCTTCGGCTTCTTCCATCTTTTAACCTTGTTCTATGTTGTCACCTTTGTCATCTTATTCTCCTCATGCCTGTCTCTCGATTCTGCCACCTGTCAAAGGCTGCCCTAGAATGGACTGATTCCATGCAAATCATTGTTTCTATCTCCCCGGGACAGTTGCATTTGAAGTCTTAACTAAAGAAGCGAAATAGAAGGCTTCCCTGGTTAAAGGAATTTAGATACTCTTCAATCGGTGTTACACAGAATCTACACATTTCCTGTCACATTGGTAGAAGCCACACCAAAGAGCCATGTGGAGGAAAGAGCAAGGGATGTTGGAATCTGCTCTTTTATTTGAAGCAAAGTTTTACCAGATTATTAGCAGAACACCTAATCTCTCTGATTTCCTTATCTGCAAGTGGAGATCATAATATAAACGTTTAAGCATGCTAATATACAAAGTGGCTCATG